GGCCAAGGCAGGAGGGTTGCTTGAGATCAGGAGTTCAAGACCAGCCTGAGCAAGAGCGAGACCCCCATCTCTACTAAAAATAGAAAAAAAGAATTAGCCAGTCAACTACAAAAAAAATAGAAACAAAAAATTAGCTGGGTGTGGTGGCTCGTACCTATAGTTCCAGCTACTTGGGAGGCTGAAGTAGAAGGACTACTTGAGCCCAGGAGTTTGAGGTTACTATGAGCTAGGCTGACGCCATAGCACTCACTCTAACCCGGGCAACAAAGCGAGACTCTGTCTTAAATAAATAAATAAGTAAAGTCTATTTAAGAAGAAAACAATAGAATAAGTATTAAAAAAAATGTAAGTTCATATTGATCGTCCTAGTTCTGGGCTTAATCTCTATTAATAAAAGAATATTGACCAATATTTGTACATTATAAAATGATTACTTACAGATATTTCCCATAAATAATTTTGATATAATATCATATAACCCAGATGAATGATGGGAAGCATTCTTTAAAGAAAAGAATCTGTTACAAGTACCTAGTTTTGTAAGCAAACCTTTCTATTTAGGATTGTGTGTTGTCATATCTACGTATTAGGTAGAAAAAACAACCAAACCAGAACTAAGCAGTTCTGTTTAACTGTAAGCTACTTTGCATATTGTTACTAAATGATCACCTATAAATTAGGTTCAGTCTGACTCAGCCCAAAATACAGCATCTTGACGACAAAACTCAGGTAAGAGATTATTCTCAAGAGTGGCCTGTAATGGGAGAATAAAAACATGTTTTTTAAAGAAAATCTCTGGGCATGGGTGATAAATGATGAATTTTGGCAGCTGATTATTCCATTATCTTAAACTGTCAGTTACTGCCCTATAATGAAAGATCCAGATTTTGCTGGTGATTAAATCATCTAGAGGTGTGGAAAGAGTCCCAATTTAGAAGTCAGGACCCCTAGGTTCTGGCCCCTGTTCTGCTACTAGCTTTGCAACGTTAGCAACCTACCACAACCTATGAGGGATTGGAGAAGAGGATGTCTAAGCTTCCTCCCAGCTCTAACATTTCATAATTCAGTTATATGTGCACTTGTTTGTTTTTTATATGCTAGATATTTTTTTTTGTATCTCTGAAACTTGATGCTTTTATGCTCAGCAGAGCATCCAGAATCTCTTAGGATTTTATCCTAAGAGATTTTATCCTAAGGATTTTTTTATCTTTAGAATTTTATCCTAAGACCTCATCATTTATTTCCCAGAAGAGCTGTAAGATGGAAACCTGAGATTTTCCCCAGATAGGTGTGTGTGTTAGCCGTGCCTATAACTGGAACCCTGGAGGCCCAGCACTGATGATCTGTGTTGCTTTCTTTTAAAAACTTGTATTCAATTCCTACAAACACATCCAGACTCCACTATGTTTCCTCCCTTGATTCTTTTCATCGCCACATTTTTTTCACTCTCTTACTCCATTGTTTTATGGTTACATATTCTTCTTTGAAAAAAAGGTGATCCTATTTATATGCTACTACATTGATTGGTGAACTTATTGGAAATGCTCAACAGCAAAAGCTGCTCATCAATGTGTCTCCAGAGACACTATCTCTTTTTCCAAGAATTATACAAAATATTGTGAAAACCTAGAAAGCTTTAATTAGTTACCTGTGGTATGTAAAAATCACTCAGATTTCATCTGGGTCAAGATTTAAGATAGTAGTTAAATTATCTTTCAGGGTAAAACCATACACAAAAGAATTATGCAATTGGCTTTGATGACATCTGCTTTATTTTTTGGTAACCTATTAGAGTTATTATCTGGCTTGTTAGCTATAGGCAAAAATAAGGCTCTGCTGTTTTCAGAAATGTAGTAACATAGGCTCCGTAACCCCTTTGCCATCATTTTGCAGCTTCTGCCATACATGTCCTTTATCTCTTATCCTCTAGAATTCCTGGCTTGGGAATTTCCTAACTTGTTTCTCTCAGCAACTTTTTCTTTTTGACAGAATCTTGGCTAGTTTTTAATCTTCCAGAAATTTTTGTTTTATGTTAGTTATTTTAGGTCATTTGGTGAGTAATTTGGAATCTTTCATTTCCTGTTTCTCTGTTTTGATTTTTAATTGGACCTATCCCACTTATCTCACCACCACCCCCACTTCTAAGAAGCACTTTTCCTGGCATTGGCTCCTTTTTCAGCCTGTTTCACCATGACTCGATATAACCCTTCCCATCCCTCCCCCAGCGCCCTTCCCCTGCTGCCCTTTCCGCTTCCATAGTCCCTTATCTTGTCAGAAGCCATTCTAGATAGATTTTTCACAAGATTTGGGACACACTGGAATTTTGGTCTTAGAGGCTGCAGCCTGCTGAGTTTTTGCTGTACTCAGGTAGAGAAACAAGTGCCCATATTATATCTAATCTTGCCCATAAACATTAAGACTGTTTTGGGGTTTTGTGGTGTGTGTGTTTGTTTTGCCTATTTTTCTTTAAATATGCCAAGCAGAGAGAATAACCCCTCACTCCTAAAGATGTTGAAAAATCAACCCCCTGAGAAATTAACAGAAAGCTATATTTTCTTCTTTTATGGAGGCTCATAATTAGATTTCAAGTTGCTTTTCCTTTTCCATTTTAGGTGTGTTCTTCATCTTTCAACAAATGTGCTTTGGATGCATCAATGCTTTGATTCTCCAGTGCTAAGGAAAATATAAACCAGGTTTTCTATAAGGTGCAGTTTAGAAAGGGATGCTACACAAGTACTCATCTTTGAAAAAAGGAGTTTGTGCCTAGTGCATTATAGGTACAGTTGTCCCTCAGTATTTATGGGGGATTGGTTCTGGAACCCTCCTTGGATACCAAAATCCACAGATGCTTAAGTCCCTTATATAAAAAATAATGTAGTATTTGCATATAATTCATGCACATCCTCCCGTATACTTTAAATCATATCTCGATTGTGTGTGATACCTAATACAATGGTATGTAAATAGTGGTTATACTGTATTGTTGAGGGAATAATGACAAGAAAAAAGTCTATACATGTTCAGTACAGATGCAACCATCCTTTCATTTTTCAAATATTTTCAATCTACAGTTGGTTGAATCCACAGATGCAGAATTCACAGATGTGAAGGGTTGATTATGTTTTTTTTTTTTTTCACATAATCCTCAAAACCACTTGCAGAATAGCTAATATCTCAACTGAACATAGGAAAAAGCTAAAGCTCAGAGAAGTTAAGAAATTTGCCTTAATGACATACAGGCTGGGCACAGTGGCTCATGCCTGTGATCTTAGCATTATGGGATGCCAAGGTGGGAGGATCCCTTGAGTTCAGGAGTTCAAGATTAGCCTGAGCAAGAGTGAGACCCATCTCGCTCACTGCAACCTCAAACTCTAGGTTAAAGGATCCTCCTGCTTCAGCCTCCCAAGTAGCTGGGACCACTACAACCACAATGCCTGGTTAATTTTTCTATTTTAGTT